GCTTCAGATAAGAGTAATGTAAATGGAAAATTCTTGGGAAAGACAAGGGTCTACAAGGCTTAAGGACTACAAGTCAGATATGAAAAATTTGGGTTCACTGTTAACTCTTAGTGGAAGACTCTTTTACTAGATAGACAATATTCTGCTCTGAAAAAGTGGAGTCTAGCAAAGGAATCCCATAAACACAGAATCTATTAAAACAGCTTTCCCCTCCCAGTTGTTCACACAGGAGTGTTTCAATGAGAAAGGCAAAGCAATCATTTCTCAAGAGAAAGAATCAGAGAGCTCTCCAAACCATGTACATGGCACCTCTGCAATCCTCTAACTTACAGATCTGATTTTAGCTTTGCAGGCACCTTCATTCTCCTTTACTGGAGAGAGACACAATGCATGTGGGTGAGGGAGAGGGGGAGAGACTCTAGGAAGTAAAGAACAAAAGAAGAACACAAATTTGAAGAAAAGCCACTCAAACGTTGCTAGTAGCAACTCAGCTGGAATATGACTCCATGGTATAACATTCACTTTTTAAATACCTGATGGAGATTGACACAGTCTTCTTGACAGAATAGGAAGTGCTAATATGGATTACACAGAGGTCTCAAAAGAGAAATAAGGTCTGCCATCTCCCAAACAGAAGGTGTGTTCTGTAGGAAAACAGTGCTGTGGATTGCAGCAGTTTCTCTCACTGCACAGAAATGCTTCTGAGAGCACAGAAATGCATTCCTGTGCACACAGCTTGTGCAGAGTCATCCTGGCTCAGACATTTTTATACAAACTGCCTTATGTCACTCAAGGGTATAAATTATTCCTCCATATATACATATATACATATATATTCCTCCACAAATAACAAGGCAATACTGCAGATCTGCTTTCAGTTTAGCTTTCACATACTTAGCACTGAGGCAAGTTAAGGGATTTTGTAAGGCTGGCTATCTCCCCCAGCCTAGGCTGCTCCCAGAGCTCTGTATTTGCCCTCTATATGCACTACATTCAGATACACAGTGGGCTGCCACAAACTTGGTCTCCATCAATGTACCATGTTATTTTGGATTTTTCTATTTTTTCCCTGTTGTTTACTTCTTAAGTAAATTCATTTTCCCAAGATATGTTGCCTAACAAACTGACTATCCAAGATATGCCTCAAATACCAGAATACATTAGACACTAAGAAGGCCCTATGGTGATTTGCTAATTAGCTTAACCCTTTCGGGACACAGATGAAGGGATTTTTTATTAAAACAGGATAACCCTGGACTATATTGATCTGACTGAGAAATGAGTATTTTAGTCAAGATGAGTCTCAAGATGAGCACATGCTGGAAACAGCAATGTTGTTTCCATAGCAATGCCATGACAGCCTCTGGAGTGAAATAGTGTGCTACCAGGAAATGAAGGGAGTTCAAGTGCTATGAGCTATGTAGTTCTGTGAGCAATCCAAATACATTCTCATAAAGAATATTTAGTGCAGCTAGATAGTCCAAAGATTGCTGCTAATGGCAAGCAAGCCTTATCAGTATGCTCCTGGCAGTCCTTTTTTCTCATTCACTTCACCCAAGATGACTATCTAAAGGCTTAAACTATGGGCAACACTGTTAAACCATTTCAGACCAAACATTAACAAATACAGCAACCCCTACCTTACTTCTTTTCCAGTGCAGAATACCATCCATAATTAAAGGTCACTGACTCTCACTCTCCATAACACAACCAAACACATTAAACCCTTTACTGAAGAAAATCCTGGTATGTGCAATTATTTACTAGGCTAACCTTCCCCCTTCCTTTTCTCTCACCTCCTCCTCTCTCTTGCCTCCTCCTTCCTAAATGATACTGAGCAGATCTGCTTGCAAGTGGGAAGCAATGTACAGAAGTCTTGCACACTCGTCATTAAAATTTACAAAGGCAAAGCATAATCTCACTCATCTGCTTTTCACCCCAGTTAGTGCTCACACTAGTACAAAAGCAAATCAGAAAGCACGAGTTGTATTTTATCTTCCTAAGGCTTTACCTAAGGTAAATATTCTGTTCAAATTCTGCAAAGCTGATTTGAAATATTTCCTAGAGACTACAGAAAGAGAGTTAATTTAAGATCTCCATTGCTCTCCATTTTCAAATAAATGAAAAATTATCAGTGATTAGTAAAACTGCTAAAACAACGGTTATAACCAAACTGTTCTCAAATTAAATTCTACAGGGCAAAGTACTTTACTTGTAAAATACCTAAACACACTGCTGCTGATTCAGTCCTTTTCTAGCATGTCCCATGGAGTTTGTAAAGATGTTCAGACATTAACTGAATGTCCAGAAACTCTACCACTATATTTGTTGTTTGTGTCATTGTCACAACCAGCCTCTTGGGGAAACAGATTGTAGGTCATTATATGTAGCAGTGCTGCCTCTGAGGGAAAATAGAAAGACAAATACTCATCCCTGCCAGATCCCTTATTAACAAAATCCACTTCAAACCAGAATGTTTTCTATTTACTGTTTTAAACATGCATTTCAAGGAATCAAGCCTTGAATGTAAAACAGCAAGATGCTTCATTTCCCTTTTGCATTCGGTAAAAAGATACGAAACAAGCATTTTTAAAACAGCCTCAGCCTCCTCCTGCCTATCCCTATAAATGTGCTACAGAAGGCACCAAGCCCAGCAACATTCATTTATAATTTAAACTGTTTGCTTGGCAGAATTTTTTCACCTTAATCTGTCTAGTCTTAATTGCAATTGGCACACCCACTGATTTTACCAGAAATGCATCTACTTCCAGGAGATTTTTATGCAAGTTGTTTTTCTGTAGGACAGAAATGCAGTTTCAGGGATAGACGTTGTTATTTGGGGAAAAACACATCCTTGCAATTTTACAAGATGTACATGGCTCTATATGAACAGAAAGATACCTGACTGGACACTGATGCAAATTTAACTTATCCCCTTCTTTCAGTTCTCATGGCCTCCCATTTAATTCCCTAATATGAACTATATTCTGTAACTATCACACCTTCTCTTTGAATACCTATGTCAAAATTTCTGTTTATCTAAGAATTAGGTAAAAGTAATCTGCCTGATAACCTGGTTTTGACAATTGAGTACAGATAGGTACAGCTTATATTGTCTGAAACAGTAGTGGGTACAGCCTCTTTAACTCAGCGTTCTCTCCTGAATACATAGAGGTGTCCAGCCACAAAAGCCAACCTGCTGCCACCATGGGCACCTCAGCAGGAACATTTTGCCCCTAGAATTGATTATCTCGTCACAGTGTTATCTCCTATCACTGCCTGAACTCTCTCATCACAGTCTTCACAGATTTTCATTCAAGTGTAAAAGAAGCAGCAATATCTGTATCCCAATCCAAGACAGAAATTCAGCCACTGTCTCAGACACAGGAAAAGTTTCTTATCCTAAAACTAAAAAAACACACTCCTAATTTCCCTCTCATCATTCTTAGAACATACTCAGAAAATGAGTGTGTCATTATAAATTTTTTCATGTTTTAAGAGCTAAATCAATGAATCAATCAAAAACCTTCAAATATTTTATCAGTAAATACTCAACCACAGGAGTGGGCTAATGATTGAAACAGAGTCCACACAGATATTCATTTATGGCTGATATTTCTGTCAGTAAGTTTAGTGTGGCAAATGACACTAAAATTTCATGTTGTCTTCGTGAACTCTAATAACAACTATATACTTGGTTTTTGAAACTTTTTGGGAACATTTGTCTTGGTAATCCATAGATTATGAGACACCATGGACATGAAAGGAGGACACTGTCAGAGCCACACTGCTATTCCAAATAGGTGTGCTGGCAAATAATTATGATCTGTCTTACTAAAGAATGGAAGTACAATTGCTTGGATATCAAGGCAGACAGAGTTGGACTTTGAAATACCACATATAAATTGTTCCTAAAGAAACAGTCATATTAAAGAGGGCACCTATTAAGCTTGCTTAACCTACACAGGTAAAGGACAGAAAAATAGTATGAGCTTGGAAACAAATTAAGGAGATATTCACTACCATCCCCAGGGTAAGGACACCTGTCACTTGACCCTGCAAAGGTAATTCTTTAAGGACATTAAGCATTATTTGATTTAAAGATCATTGTTTCCTGTGACATTAGCAAAGTATGGGTTAAGTTTCAAAGATGACCTGGCCCACAAAGGAAGAAATACAATCACCAGAGACAGGGAGAACACACCATCACACTGATGCCTTCTCTGAGGAAAACTACCCCAACAGGACAACTTCACTTTGACATCTAATAGTCCCTCATATAAATCCACAGAGACATATTCTTGTAACTCCTTTTGATACACTCAAAAAGAAATCGCCAGAGGAATACAACATTCTGAGCTGGCCCCATAACCTATTTCTCTTCTTACCAGTCTATTTATGTTCTGAAAACATGGAATCACTTTTCTTGGCTACATTCTCTTTTGCTCCCCCTCCAAGACACCCTGTTGTAGTGCAAGGGGCAGCCTCACAGATGGCCAGAATGATCCCACTATGGAGTTTTCAGGATAGTGCCAGCACTTGAAACAGCAATACCTGCATTAATCACAGACACAACTCACACAAAGCAGCTGAGCCTCACCCCCAAACTGTGCATATCTCAGGCATTACAGTTCTGGGAAGCAGGATGATGGAGAATGGGGGGCAGGAGCAGGGTAAGGACTAACCTTGCAGCAAAACAAGGTGCAGTATCTCAGCATGAAATGTCTTCAGGATATAATAGTACAGAGTATTCTAGTCAGGTGGATAGTTGCTATTCAGCTGGCATCTGTTTCCTATTTAAATGCCTTTAACCAACACCATTATTTTTCATATAAAATTCTCTGATTTTTGCAATATCTCAGCATTTTCTGTTACAAATACTGCAGGGATTCTGGTAAGTAAAGGTATATTTTAAAATGCACAGAAAAATATTTTTAAATATCCGTCTTAAGCCCTACTAATAACATGAACACTGAGCAAGGAACCACAATAAAGGATACTGAAGCTCCTATCTGTGATAGCTAAATGCCAGAGGTTAATCCTGAGATCATCCGCTGACATGTACGTCTCACAGTCACTGTTGACAGATATTGAGTTGACATGATAGGTGTGACCATTAGCAAAGATCCTCCTGGGAGTGACTTCTACCATCAGATCCATGGGTTTCAATACAGGCACCTGCCAAAAAACACCAAAACACAAACCAGAGAGAGAGTAAGACTAGAAATGTTTTGCTAGGATGATGAGAACTCCAACAGAGAGAAAGCCTTCAAAGACTACAATATTATAAAACTTCTTGACAGTGTACACAGGCTGAATGTCCTCATGGATTAACTGCTGGGCAAGGCCTTCCCTGCCAAGGAGGAAGGGAGAGGCAAGAGAGGCAGGCAGAGGGATGGAAAGCCTGGACAGTGGGAAGGGAGGGACTGGCAGCTGCCACGGAACAGGTCAGTCCTGCTGCATCAGCTACTGTCCAGGAGGCTCTGGCAAGCAGTGAGGCACTCGTATTTTGCTTTTGCTAAAGAGTTTGTCATTAGCTGTAAATCACTTAACTGTATTTGTTTGGCTACTTTATGCTTCTCTTTCAAAAAACTCCAGCAGTGAAAAGGCTTTAATCTCAGAGAAACATAATAAACAAAGGTTTGCAAAACAAAGCCAACATGACATACTGTATGTACACATATACCCCTGAAAAGCCAATATCACAGATTATCACTTGTCAGTGTGCCCTCGTTATTTCCCTGCATGACACTTCAAAGTCATGGTTCAATAAATAGACACTCAATTTATTCCCTATCAATAAAGCATTAAACCCTGTAAAGCTGTGGTCCATGACTGGGACTATTCAATGTAGTTGAACATGCACCAGAAACAATCTATCATACATCAATCCACAAGATAGTTTAAAGAGGAACACAGAGTAATTAAACATTTGAGTTCTGCTTTCTTCTAAAGGAACAAAACAAAACCCAACTTTTTAACTACAGAATCACCGAATATGTCAAGTTGGAAGGGACCCACAAGGATCACAGAGTTCAACTCTCACCCTGAACAGCACCATCCCCAAGAATCACACCACCTGAGAGCAGTGTCCAAATGTGTCTTGAATTCTGTCAGGTTGGTGCTGTGATCACTTCCCTGGGGAGCCTGTTCCAGTGCCCAGCCACCCTCTGAGTGAAGAACCTTTTTCTAATATCCAACCTAAACCTCCCCTGACACAGCTTCAGGCCATTCCCTGGGGTCCTGTCACTGTTACCCCAGAGAAGAGATCAGGGCCTGCCCCCTCTCTTCCCCTCAAGAGGATGCTAAATTCTCAGAGAATTCTCAGACTATAAGCAACCTGGAATAGTTTTGTTTGCCTAATCATACAGAAGAGATAATTATTCCATTAATGTAGTCATATTTACACTTTGGAACCTTTTTTCCCAACAGACAATACTGGCTTGTTTTGTTTTCAATAAGGAAGACATATTAGTGTTTATACAACATAACCTTCCAGTTCTAACCTTTAGCCACTTCCTTGGAGTGGCACCTGGAGTGAATTCAGCCAAAAAAGTCTAAGAACAAAAATATACATTAACATACGGATGATGGGTCTCCTCTCTAAGAAACAAGTGACAGGAGAAAAGTAAATGGCTTTAGCTGCACTGGGAAGGTTATTATATTAAAATTGGATTATATTCGTTATTATATTATAATTGGATATTAGGAAAGATTTGTTCACCAACATTTTTGTCAAGCACTGCAGGGGGCTGCCCGGGAAAGTGGTTGAGTCAGCATACCTGGAGGTATTCAAAAGATCTCTAGGAGTAACACCTGGGGACATGGTTCACTGAAAATAGCAGTGCTGGGTTCATGGCTGGACTTGATGATTTTAATGGTCTTTTCCAAACAGAACAATTCTATGATCACATATGCTTACATGAGTTCCACGACTGCATCTTTTCAGCAATGCAGAATCCCAGGTTTGCCAGAGCACAGACTACTGCAAATGCTACTCCTAAAATAATTCTTTTCTAAAACTGAAAACCAGATGAAACTGAAATTTGGTGTACTGTCTTTAACTCAGGTGCTCTGAATGTAGCAAGAGCCCTATTCAAAATTACAAGTAAAATGCTTCCAGCACAAGAAGTTAAAGAACCTTTTAGGAAAGCACATTAAGTCCCAATAAGAGAATCCTATCAGGAAAAATAAAATCAACAAGAACTCTCAAAAATACCTATTTTGGTCAGCATATCTTAAAGCATTTGTGACGTGCAAATGCATGGCAGATTCAATACAGCTATCAGTTGGCTAAAGCTTCAGTTGGCATAATCAGACAAATGCCTGGCATTAGGTACATATTTAAATCTTTTACTGATTTGGCACTACCTTTTTCATACAGAAACAATTTTGGACATGGACAGAAGCTTACCTGCAGTGATGTTACTGTAGAAAGATCTTTAAGTTTTCCTTCTTCATCTTTTAAGTTGTACCCCTCTGGTCTCTTATCTCTTTCAGTAATTTTCCACAATTTGATTGTTTTATCTTTAAAAGAAAAGACAAGCAACTGTCAGCATAGGAATTCTGAATGCAGTTACCCATCTTTCACAATATACTGCTTAAAGAAGTGTTTAGACCTTGGTTTAGACAAGTCATGTGCTGAAATAGTCTGGGTCAATTTATTCTGCACATCCAGAAAATATTGCCAACAGACAAAATACTCATAAAGCACATCCCAGATCTTCACATGGAGTCAGGGGTTCCTGGCAGCTGACAGACTGAGTGGAGCATGTAGAGCACATGCTGCTCATGTATTCAACCTGGCAGTTTGCAGGTGGAACAAACTCCAACTACTCAATGCTGACTGCTGAAGCTCAGTTTAACAATTCGACTTGGCAAGGAAATAATCTCAATATTAAAATCAGTTTGGCATTAATGCTAGGTTACTTATAAACAGCACAAGAACAGCACGGAGCACACAGCCAGAACTATCACCCCTTCCTGGCCCACTGTGGAATGGGCAGTGGTGTATTGCTGTAACATCAGGAGCCCCTGCAAATGAAAGGCTGTGAAGAAACCAAGGCATTTCTCCCTCCTAATGGAAAGCAGCTGAGAAATAACTGAGGAAAAAAACAAACCCAACCAAACTAAGAGAAATGCGTTGTGATGGCAAGAGAGAGAAGAAAGGAGAAAAATGTATTAATCTTGTAAGGAAGGGAATAAAATTTAGACTCTTCCTTTCTTACAATGAGTGAAGCACATGATGAGAGAGTAATGATGTCTCTCAATTAGCAAAGAGCCTCTGAAACCAATAAACATGTTTTAAACTGCATTCACACTGCATTTATTTTTGGGGTTTTTTTTGTACAAGCTGAAGTTCCAGATTTCCTGATGCTGATTGTCCACTCCCACTGTGGCTGTGCTCCTAACCTGCCAACCCTAATGCTTCCTAGACTGAAAAATCAATGCCAACTCTTCTGCAAAAAATCTGTCCCTGAGATTCTAATGGTTGTTTCACTCATGTGCTTGTGCAGCAGCCAAAGTCTTTCCAAAGCTTCTGCCCTTCAGCTGCCAGCACAGATTTATTAACCTCAGTTCCTGCATAATTTCCGATTTCATTCTACTTTCTTCCTTTACCTTTCTTTCCCCAAGTACATAGCAGAGCATAATAATTTCCCCAGTGTGGCTGATCCAAATACTACTTTCAAATTCTAGTACAAGTCACTTTAAAGACAGGATATACAAAAAACATGAATTGATTTACATTTCTATGGCAACTTTTAACTTTGAACTTTCTTTGTTTCAAAATCAACCCCCCATTACTCATTTTTTACTATTATGTATCTCTTAATGATATTGATATGCTAATATACAAGCAAAAAAAAAATTACAATTACAGTCAATCTACAGAACAAGAGGTTAGTTCAATCTGCAACTCAAAAGCTGCTTTTAAATATTCAACAAATTTCATTTGTATTGTATACCATGTTAATTAATTACTAAAAATACACGTAGGTCACATCATGCCCTTGGATATTTTATTACAAGTAAATAGTGCATTCCTGCTGATCTAGTAAAAAAATTATAACTACAGCAATTGTAAAACGAATTATAAGAAAAAACACAAACAATTTTCCATTGTTAGATTTGATTGTTATTAATAAATATATTCTTTCCTAAGTGAAAACTGTTTTATTAGCAGGTAAGGTTATAATGTATTAGTATTCTTCTCCTTTATCCACCTCTGGATTTGGAATACTCCTTAGAAGTTTTAAGAATGCTTATATTTTACAAAATATAGGAAAAATAGAAACATCTTTGTGAGGTTAAGCATTTGGTCTCAAGGTTGTTGTGAAGTTAAAATTAATTAATGTCTGGCAAGCAGTCTGAAATCCTCAGATGAAAGAATCTGTATGGGCCAAATTCTGATCTACCTTATGTAGCTCTGAAAGTGGCCCAAATATATTCTGTACAGAAGATACCAATGAAGAAGTTATTACTATACTACAAAATCAGTTCATTTTACAGTGCAAATTTGTTAACTGCAAGCACTGTAAATGCAGAATGGGATTTGAAAGCCTTGGTGACTTCCTCCTGTCTCATTAATTAAGATGCCACAATCCAAGCTCAGCTGATAACATGAACTGGAAAGGAACCAAGATTGCGTCTGAGAGAGGTGACCTGTGCAGAAACAACTTCAGACAAAAGTCCTCCTTAGAATGACAGAAACAGATTTGGGCAGGTGCAGACCTGCCAAGTCTCATATATTGAGGGTTAGATTTAGACTGACTCTCCCCTCCCGTTCCTGAACAGCAGGATGCTCCTTCCAGCACATTCAGTGGGCACTGTCCACCTGAGCACATGGACAGGATTCTGTTTCACAGCTCTCATTTTTCTGCACAAAACGATGCATTAGATCCTAAATTACTAGAGAGCAAAATATCAAAAATTGCATTAAAATAGCAGACTTTTTTAGTAAAAAAAAAATAACAGTTCTCAAGATAGTTCTACAATCTGTCAAATACAAGCACGTGTGACAGGTAGCGCCTTCAAATTAGGAAACGCATTATTATCCTTTTTATAGGCATGGAATTGATATACATTGTCAAAGGCTTCTCCCAGGTAATCTGTGAGACAGTGAATAATTCAACGTGGGCTGTCTGTACCCTGAAGTTAAAACCATCTTTAAGACTATGCCAGGAGGTGAATCTTGAGACTTCAACCCCGCTGTGCCAGGAAGCCAGGAATCCTCCTTGGCACACACAAATGTTTTGCAATTCAAAGCCAAAATCCAAGGCCTGTGCCAGTGGAACCATTTCTGTTCTCCTCACCATGAAGAGGTCTGCTGAGATGCTCCAAAACTAAGGGGGAGAAGCAGAGGCCAAAGTATTTTCCAGGTTCTAAGTTTGCTTCCTGTTGGTTGAAACTAGATTAACCACAGCTCACTAGGACTGGTTCTTTCTTCCTTTCTCCCCTCTCATGACAGTATGAACCAGAAAACTCATGTAATGGTCTATTATCTATAACTGTAAAAGCTGAACATCTGAGGACTGTATTCCTCTGTGTTTCTAAAACCAAACTTTAAAATGAAAAGGGAGAGGTTTAATTCCAATTGTCTACTTTTGTATCACAGACTAGGAAGAAGCCACTCTTATTTATCTGAAGAAGGTGAGGGATATTTTGACCAAAGGAGAAGAGTAGAAATAAACTTCCAAACTTCATAAGGTGACTAATCATTAAATTAGTATAAATCACCTGTCTTTAACAGGTATGTTTAATTTCGAATAAGTAGTAGTGCCTCCAAAGAGTCAATGACAATTTTAAGTAAAACAAACTACAAAATACTAAAAAATTACCATCTACTTTGAATTAATGTAAACATTTAATGCAATATATTCTAACACAATCACTTGGTGACTGTGTCAGTTCCCAAAGATGAGATTACACAATTTTTTATCAGCAACCCCCAATTACACTCAAACTTCTTAGAACAAAATATTATTTTCTGATTACCATTAGATCTAAAATTTAAAACCAGGTATTTTGTCTCATTCATCATTTGCAATAATAAAGTTTGTGGGTGTCTAAATGCTTCTTAAATGACACCTGTGCATGCTAGGTTACATTCAGGAGTTTTTTTCCTTATTTTATATTTGAATATCCTCTCTTGACAATAATACTGCCTTCTTTCATCAATAGGCCTTAGACATACTAGAAATATAAGTCAGTATCAATATTCTAGTATTATTCCCACTGTCTTCCCAAGATTTGTGCACCTCTTTAAAACTTAAGTAAACTATTCTGATGATAATGAATGAAAAGAAAAATAAAATAATCTCTCTCACCTGTCTTCATTTACACATCTACAAATAATAAAAGCTATGACAAATACAGCAGAAAAAACTCTGAATTTCCCATGAATCACAAGCTGCTGAGTAAGGTGATGCCTTTGTCACAAGATCTGTTTCAGGATAGCAGTGCATATTAATAGAAAAATGGATAGCTCTTTAAATGTCTATGAATAATCAATCAGAAAAACCTCGTGATTCCATGAATAAAATATACAAACAGATATCAGAGGCAGTATGAAAGTCTTGCTAAACTCTGAAAGAGGAAATTACTAAAACAGTAGATTAAAATGAGCAAATATATACTGTCAGCACTAAAACACACAGAGCAAATACTGCAAACTCTCATCAATCTCACCATTTGTTGATAGAAGTGAGTGAGCTGCATTTTGCTGTGGTAACCACTTGATCTTGTTTATTTTTTCTTCTATCTCCAAGCTCTTCAAATAATCAAATTCAGGTTCATGGCTCTGGAAAGTGCTGTAAACATTGTACTCCCCCTGATTGTAAGGCTCATTTTTACTCTATGGAGAATAAGAACAACAGAAACGTTGTTTATGACAGCAATATAGCTTCATCTCTTAGGAAAGGTGTATAAGCAACCTTATAAATAAAAAAAAAATTGAAAATTTAATTTGATTTCTCATTTAAAACATGATCTTGACAGATTTGTTTCAGCAAGAATGAAATTTACTGTGAATATTGAAACACTTAATATTAGAATTTTTAAAGAAATGTCAGCTATTCAGAAAAGACTTCTACACAAGACACTGCAGATGGATGGAGTTTACAAGTGGAACGTAAAGGTAAGTGAGGGTATTGTCTAAAAATGGAATAGGGCTCCATCATCAGGCAAAGGCTACTAAAACAAGGCAGAAGTAAAACAAAAATAACATTATTTTTTCTTGTGTCAGAATTTTTGAGTTTTGAAACATTTTGGTTTGAGACAGCAAACTTATGAGTTAAAAATCCTTACCCTTTTTCACTTCATCTCTAAACAGGTGCCACTGAATCTTGAGATTGTAATAGGTTTTAGTAAATCTTGAGATTGTAAACAAGTTTGTTAATTCAATTCAAATAAAATATTAAAAATTAAGCCAGGTTTTCTCAGGCTATTAAGGACTACATTGGTAACCCACATACCTCAGGTTCCCTTTGGAATATAACAACTCGACCCCCCTTATCACCAGTAGCCAGCAGTTCTCCAGTGTGGTTGAACTCAACTGTAGAAATAATATCAGCTGGAGGAAGAAAGAGAAAAAAAGGCAGATTTTAGACTGCTGCTACAGCACAGACTCACTAGAAATATCAGGCACTCCACAAAAAATGCAACAAATGAGGTTTTTGAAGGAATTCAGATGAATTCACTAATGCAAACAGGCTGCATGCCATTACAATCTAATGAAACAAGTGCAAACATTAAAGAGGCAAATTTGTGTTTCCAGCACATCTGCAGTTTGGGGGAGGAGAAGCTCTCTGGAGAGGTTATGCTTCAAGAAGAGCCATCTTGGGGGGCTATAAAGCTTTTTTTCAGTACTAGCAAAGAATGAAACTGGCCTCCTGCTATATGCCCTAGCAAGGACCAATATAACATCAGTTCTCTTGCATGTATTATTTATTCTATGACCTTTCTGATGATTTTCACATAACCCCCAAGCACTAGTTTTCTCAAATATGTATTTGAGTCAAGAGTGCAAAAGCAAAGTATGTACAGCCTGTCCTACCACGGAGGAATGAAGGCAAAACCAGACCTGTTCACCACGCAGTGCTGGCAAGGGCCCACTCTAATCACTGTTTTCAGAAAATCATTCCAGCACCGTGAAAATGTGTCATCAGAAGACAAAAAGAATCTCAGCCTCTCTTTTCCTGATTTTCAACAACTGCCTTTCCCTAAGCAATTTCATCAGTTTAAACAAGAAACCTCATTAAAACCTGAGGCCAGTCTTGAGCACAAATTACTACACATTAGGATGAGAGGGAGAAAGAGGCTGTAGAGCTAAAGAACTGGTTCTTCTGTTTGAATGACAGTACATGCTAGAATCATAATCCACAGTTAATCCTACACTATTAGCATAATTTGAATTAAAATGCCTAGTGCAATAGTAAATTAAGGAACCATCATATATATAATCACAGCAAATGCAGGGTATTTCTCAGAGATTGCATGTATGAATCCTCTATAATGATCAGTATTCACTCATCAGAACCATGGGCCAGATTTTAGAAGTGTCAGTAGTTAGGAGCTCCCCTTTAGGCATAAAAAGCTGCAGTTCCCTAACACGTTCATCATCCATCAGTTTATAGTGAGAACAATGAAGTGACAGTGGGCTAAGCTCTTTTGAAAACCTAGCCCCAAATGAGTTCACAGAAATTCAAAGGAATTGAAATAACAAGTGGATGTACCATTTACTTGATATATTTTATGAATTGAAAACATCTGTTCCTATTATTCTTTTAATAAACTAGCATTTTGATGTTAGAAAGCTTGTGTTGCCAGTAGCTCTCATCAGCAACACAGCCATCCAAAAGCCAGATTCTTACTCAAACATTATAAACTATTTACCATCTAAAAAAGGAAAACTTTGCTCCAATCATAGTAAAGAAAAATATCTTTTCATGTTTTAAACAAATCTTCACCATCAAATTCTTCTAAATCAAACCAACGTTCCTCCATTTTTTCCCTCCTCTACTCCATATATAAAGGAGGACAGGGGATCATAAATGGATGTGTAGACTTTGAGAAAAATGGCACATGAAGACTTTGAGTACTTTGGGTCTGAACCCAAAACTTCTCAAAGGTAATGACATTTGATTTTTAAGTGGACTTCCACAGACTTCATATTTCATAGGTAATAACTACAAAAGCCTGAGACTTACCAAAGTATAGGAAAAGGACAGAGACTCTGGTTATGTTTCATGATACTCTGGGGTTTGCAGTGGGTTGAGTTTGATGTCAAAAATAAAAAGTTTTTTTCTAAAATCTAAAAATCTAATCAACTTTTCTGGCATGTAAAGTTCATTCAGACTGCTTTCAGTAGAACACTTTTTGGCTATTTTCTCCTTACGCTGCAGAATTCATACTGATTGTAGGTGTGGTCACCTGCTTATAAAATGATAGCTGCATAATTTTACTCATTCAAAGCTGTATCTCATCCCAGTCACACAGGCACAACTGCAGAAGCCTCATGCTGATACTCCTTTTAAACTGTGCCTTATCTTAAGCATGCAATGGGCAAGAAGGGCAAATACAGAGGGAGGAATGTAGTATTAAAATATGTATGTGTGTGAGTCATGTACATGAAACTTTCTCAACAGGTCACAAAAGAATAAGGTAAAGTAACTGCAAAAGGAATGAATGGCATTTGGACATGTATGTGTAAATACACTTGCTATTGGCCTGGAATAATTCCACAACATCACAAAATATTATTCCCTACAGTGACAGTGATCATAAAATATATTGCACTTTACAGAGGGCATCTGTTACTGCCCAGTAAAGACCACAGCAGTATTTGCACAGCCTTCAACAATAACTGAACCAGGATTGTAATAAAATAGCTCTGCATTTTCTTATTATATTGCGACTGTCATTAAAATATCATACACAGTTAAATGATTATTGTTCAAAGAAAAGGGCAGTGTACAACAATGTTGTTCTGAGGCAAAATTCTCACCCCCTCCCAAGGTGTTTCTTCCAGATACATCTCTCCTTTCTATTAGAAAAACTAATCCTGAGCTAGAAGCTACCTATCATTTTTAAATTAACTTGTTCTGAAAAAGAGCAGATCCAATATTATGACCTTATAGGCTATGTAGCTTGTTGGTAAAAATTATCCTTGAATTGGAAAATCAGTTTTATTGATCCTGTAAATAATAGCTGAAAATAACAGCTATCTGTCCCCAGTGCAGACACCACCACCCCCCCAAACATTTCCAGCACATCTGTTCAGCAGGTGAACATCAGTCATGCTGTTTCCTAACAAAGGGTAAGCCAGGCTGGCTCTTCCTAAAACAGAGGAGGTAAGGACAGAATCAATCAACAAAGCTCTTCATACTCTTCTGCAGGACATTCCCCCACGTATTTATTAATGCTGTAGCAACATCAGCCACTACTGTCCCAATCCCACAGATTCTCCCACTGCAGAGTGGCCCCCTGAGCACACAGAGCAATTAATTCCCAGATTTCAGCCTCTCCAGGATATATAAATGCACCACAATGGAAAAGCTGATGAATTTGCATGTACTGTAAGCCCTTGGCAAGGGATGGCAGAGATGAAAGACTCCTTCCAGCCTTCTATACTACACCTTCCATATCTCACTTGGCAGTGCCAAGCTTTGCACTGATGATTAGGATTATCAGAGACAGAGATAATTTACCTATTAAGAGCAATTATAGGTAACCTCAATGCCAAACAGTTACAATCCAACTGTAAATTCCATCTTTTATAGAACATTTATCTTCCTACTCCAATTTTAAATTTTCCATTTTTTCTATGCAGAAATATATATAAATTTGGATTTAAAAGTCAAGATATTCAATATTTTCCTTCAATAGACAGTTGCTGACAGAAAAGCAGGCCTAAAACTTTCAAAAGATGAAAATACTCCAGGGGCATAAACACCTGATTATCTGGTCCACATCCAACCACAGCAAATTATTCCAGTATGTAAAATGCATTACAGACTTTAATCCCAAGACTTATTTTACATATTCACAGAAAGATGCCATATTACTCTACACAGAAAGATATTACACTACACTATTAAACTGACAAGAAGTTTTTCCTGATCCAGCCTGTGAAGTATTTAATTTACTCCTAGTTACCCCTTCCCTTTCATACCTCACTAATTTCTCTGCAGATTCACAATTTACACTCCTTAAATGCTTTTAATGGCTATGCTGTTAATGGCTGCTGCCTAGCTAGATATATTCAGGTTTTGTGACAGACCTAAGTCCATCACTGTACATCTGGGCACATCGAGGTAAATCAAGCTGATTGTTCTTTCCACAATTTCATGAGTATTGTTCCAGCATGGACCCAGCAAATGAACCCTCCAGCAGCCCTCCCTCAGGCCGAGTGCAGGGATGAAACAAAGGTTGGTATATGTAGCCCAAGTTAATTTTGGCCTTTATTTCACAGCATTATATACTTTTCTATGTTCACCTTTTAACCTCTCACAGCTTTATTTAAAGGAATAAGCTATTAAAAACCATACAGAACACCAACAGGTCCGAATACCTCTACAATAAATTAGAAAAGCCTCATCCATATATTCAATCTTCCTATCATTTTGGGGCACTCAAGTGTAATAGCATGTGATTTTCCACCTAATATGCACTTAGTGAAGCTAAGTCTGAGCATACTTACACATCCTCATAGAGCCTTTTGGTCAGACACTTTGAGCAACCCTAAGAAAAGCTCACCTGTAATTTTCATGTGTTATTTTTACTAAAAATTTCTACTTTTCTGGAACCTTTCATCTGAAGACTGCGGTATTTTAAAAAATTTCTTTAACTTTTTTGCTTCAGAAGCTCTGGAAAGCAAAGAAAATTTTGTAATTATTTCATCCAGCACACAAATGCAGCTTCTGGAACAGCAAGTTTCGAGGGCAATCATCATGCAACAGTACAGGGAAAAGAAGATCAGAGAATATAATCTTCAACTGAATTCCAGTGTAATCCTGATAGAGAATTAAAGGATTTGGAATGGGCCAGAACACTGGAATTAACAACAGTACTCTTCCCTAAAAAAAAAAAAAAGCTGTGAAATCCTACCAGCCAGAACAGGTCAGAACTTGTCATTATTATCACACCCACCGCAGTGAGCACAGCAGCCCTGGCTGCCTGAGCTGACTGAATCAACATCTGGTCAGGTTTCTGTTGTGTGTGCTCCCAGTGGCTAGCAGGCAATCTTGTAGTCTACGTTATTTCAACCAAGTTCTGACCTGGCCTAACCTTGGTTTGTGAAATCCAATAAGATCACAGCACAATCTGGCATGGCTGCAAGCAATGTTCAGTCATACTGATACAGAAGTCCCTGAGGACCATAATCTGGAAGAAACAACAAAGAAGGTTGCAACAAAGAGAACCATAAAACAAAAGGACAAATGGCAAATAAAAGAGGAGCAGTATTACAGTACCTCGAATGAAGGGAAGGCCAATACAGAGAGCTGTGCTGTCAGAATTTGGTCTAGACTAAGAAAGAAAAAATAGTAGGGAAATAAAAACATAAATGGAAAG